AGGCTTCTCTCTTGCAGTTCTCAAATGTCCAAGTTGAAATTCCTGCTGTGTCCTCTCCCTGGAAGAAGCTGCAAAGAGCATATTTTATCCTGAATTTTGTGTTTAGTCCTTTCAACCAGTGTTTCTCAACCTTGGCAACTCAAGATGGGTGGACTTAAATTCCTGGCATTCCCCAGCTACCATGCTGGCCAGGGAACTCTGGGAGTTGAAGTCCACACACCTTAAAGTCGCCAAGGTTGACCAACACTGTTTTAAACTGCTCCAAAATACCTTTCAGTTGTAAATCCATGGAATAGGTTAATCCCCCTTATGCCCTGTTGTCTCAACGTCTGCTTCTCCTTTGCTGCTCCAGATGATGGGGATGATGGAGGGGGAATCTGAAAAGCCCCCCAGAGGAAACCAAGCTCTGTCAGAAATGGTGAAGGCGCAGCTTTTTAGGGAAGCCAAGCAGGAAGCTGGAGGGGATGCAAGCCTACTGGGTAAGTCACTTTGAGCGCCCGACAGATCAAGTGTTAAGGTCCAATTCAAAGTGTTGGTTATCACCTTTAAAACCCCACATGCCATGGGTCCAGGTTACCTGAGGGACCGTCTTACCCCCGTCACATCAACCCATCCAACCTGGTCAGGCAGAGAGGGCATGTTGCAGGTCCCGTCAGCAAGGGGATGTTGACTGGCGGGGCCCAGGAGGAGAGCCTTCTGTGCCGTGGTCCCCACCCTTTGGAACATTCTCCCCCCAGAGTTGCGGCAGGCCCCTATCCTCCCGGCCTTCCGGAAAGAATGAAAGACCTGGCTCTGCCAGCTTGCATGGGGGGATAACAACTTTACCCAATCCTGGGGGTGGCTAGTGCCTTGATGACGCTCCCTGAGCGATTGCCAATTATTTTGGATCTTTTTATTTTCTATTTATGATTGTCATTTTGTAATTTTCATTGATGTTCATTGTTCTGTAAACTGCCCAGAGTCGTTCAACGAGATGGACGGTGACAAATTAGATAAGTAAGTAAGTTGGGCTCTTCTTCATGGCAGCCTTAAGCTGCTTGTCTCCAGGAGCTGATACCAACTGGCAGTGGCGCCTTCAATGTTATCTAGATCAGGGTTTCTCAACCTTGGCAGTTTTAAGATGTGTGGACTTCAACTCCCAGAATTCCCCAACCCACACTCTGGGTGGGGGGTTCTGGGGGTGTTAGTCCCCACCTTATAAAACTTTTGGTGTGGAGACACAACCCTTTTGAAGATGGGTTGGA